AAACTTTCAATTATTCAGTAAATGTGGAGAATCGATATTTGCCGCTGTGGGAGGTGTGTGTGTGTTGGTGTGTGTGTGTGTGTGTGTGTGTGTGTGTGTGTGTGTGTGTGTGTGTGTGTGTGTGTGTGTGTTGGTGTGTGTGTGTGTGTGTTGCACTGGGAGAATCAAACATGTCACACGCTGGGACACTTTCAGTTGATTAAACCAGCGGTAGGTGACAACCACCATCCATCAGCCTCATCACTCCTTCACAACAAAAGCCTCCTGACCCAGCAGGCTCAGCGGCAGATGGCCTCCCCCTCATCCTGCCCTCCCTCCTGGTCCTCCCCCTGCACACACACACACACACACACACACACACACACACACACACACACCCACCCACCCACACACACACACACACACCGCCGTGCCTCTCACAAAGGCAGCGGGGTCTCTGTGGGGCAGCTTTCCTTCATATTAGTTGGTGTTAATTAATGGCGGGCCCACCGGAGCCCCTCCTCCGTCAGAAACTCCTCAGGAGGGGAAGACCTCCGTCCACACATCCACCCTGCGCCTCCTGCTCGACTCGTGGCGCCGTGTGGATCAGATCCGCTCCGCCTGATCTCCTGCTGCTGGACGGCTGTAAATCCACACCGTCTGATCAGCTCCATGTGAAATAATCTGCAGATCGGCCGGGATCAGGAGGAACAGGAGGAACAGGAGGAAACATGGAGGAAACATGGAGGGTTTATCTGCAAGTGAAAGAACTTTAAATCTGTCCTGTTTTCCAGATTAGCCTTAATGATGAGTAATTATCTTTGTGTTTGCTAATCAGTTTGTTTTGTGTGTTCAATCATTAAATATGTATCAGGTGATTAATAGTCAGATTTCAAACTCCACAATTTAAGAAATGATGATGTTATTGTAATAAATCATAATGATGGTATCGATTATTAAAACAGACTCTTCTCTGAAGCTCATCCCTCCAGCATCTCACCTCTGCTGGACACATTAAGGAAACTTGGAGTCAAAGTGTTTTAATCTGCAGAGCATAAATGCACAACACTCAAATGTTTTTAGTTCTGTACAGAAGAGATCAAACTAAATCATTTTCTGGACCAGAAAACATAACTGGTCTTTTGGACCATGTTAAAACTTTCACTTACAGTTTTAAGTCATTGATGAAGTAAACGTAGCCTGACCATCGTCTTCCTCTGCAGTTCTGCACGATTCTCATCTACATTCACTGCTCTGTCTGCGATTTCTCCCATTAAGCTCAATTTCTCAGGATGAATTTCAACCAGGCCAATCAATGAATCATCAGTGAGTTGTGAACGTTTAAGACATTTTATTGTTGACTCAACCTGCATGCAGGTTCCAGTTAGCTTGTTAGCATAGCTTCCTTTGGTGCGTAGCTTATGTCCTACAGAAAACATTAGCAATTGGGTCAAATTTTAAACTTTAACAGATCCCACACCCCCAGGAAGTCGATTCTCAAGAGCTGAAAAAACAATTGACCCAATCCATCTTCATCCATCCATGCATAATAATTTATTTCAGCATCTTTCATATGCAGTAGTAAAACAGTTAATGATGGTAATTTAGCTTTTTTCTGTTGTCATTGGCAACAGATTGATCTGTTTATCATCAGGTCTGCTGCTGCCTTTGATTCTGTTTGTTTCAGCTCCTCAGCGTAATGAGATGCATCTAAAGGAGCCATTAACACCAGAACAAACAGGGCGTGCCACATGTGAGCATTAAATCATCCAATGAAATGTTCATAATTAGCTTCACATCAGAGCCACTGAAACATTTCTGCAGCAGCGATATAAATATTGTAGGGACCGGGCCACAGAGCGCAGCCATCAGTTTTTAAGACGTTTCAGGAAAAAGAAGCTTAGCCTGCAGTCTGTTTCTGCATTAGTCAGCGCTACAGCGGCTGCCGCTGCCAACAGGCCGGATAATGCAGACGCACACAAACGCTCCAGTCACAGCGCTGGGGAGAAGCAGGACCGAACAGGAGAAGATTCCCTCTGACAGGCGGCCGATGAATCACCAGGTCCGCGGATCAGAGGAAACTGTTTATTTTAGAGAAATGATTTTACCCAGAAACATCAGCGCTGCTCTGACTGTCGACACTCAACACATTAATCAGTGATGCCATGCAGCCTGCGCCGACGATTTGAATATTCTTTCCATCAGCAGAAAAATGAAGAGGCTCAATATTTCAGCTGAAACTCATCAGAGAGAAGATGGAGTCCAACTCATTCTGCTTCCACAAGCAGGCTTGTTTTAATTAACTCAAGCCTGATTGGCTCATCTTCTCTATTTCAATTAGATTTTTTTCATTAATGTGAAGAACAAATTCAGTCTTAAGTATAAAACTTGAACTGCAGGTTTTTCACCAGATTATTTCAATGCAAATCAGTTCATTAGTTACATTTTGTGCTAAATTATTCCACTGTCATCACTGTAAAAGTTAATTATTGACAATGGCTCGATTAGATAATAATGGTGAAAAAAACAGGACAGGAAACATGATTTCTCCATTGTTTTTCCATCTGTTATCATCTGCAATAAGTTCATCAATTCTGCTTTTTTTTGGTAGAACGAAGTAATAAATTATAAAATAAGCTTGAAATTGTTGTGTTTTTTTTTCCATTTTCTGATGAAATATGTACATATACTAACTAAGACATAACCAGACTCCAAATAAGAAAACATGGTTCATCATTGAGTCTTTCAGCAGGTTAATGATCCAGAACATTTGACCAAATCAACACAGTGATGCTTCATCAGACACCAAATCAGGCGTCATCCGTGTCCGACTCAGTTCTGAGCGAAATGATGATGAAAACCTCTGGAGGTGAGGAGATGGAGAGGAAACAAACTGGATCATCTGGAGAGGATCAGTCAGACTAACTGATGCTACAAGCAGTTATCTCACCACAGATTACTAAATGTTGTGATTTTGATAATATTTTAGGTTGAAGCAAGATGAATTCATTTGGAGGTTTCTAAACGATTTCTCTGGCTGTTGGTAGGAGGAATGGCGGAAACGTCGGCTCAACGCTGCAGCAGCAATGAATGCAAAAACAAAGTCCATTGTTCTAATTCCCTCCTGCTTTACTGCAACTCAACAATAGATTTTCCAGAGGCAAATTGTTAGTAATTAAGTGGGACTGAAGTGATACGCATGCAGTTCAGTGGTAATTATAAAACTGCTAAATTAGACTGTTGCTCTGTAAGCCTATTTAGATTAGAGCGCCGCAATTAATCTGGCAAAGGGCTATAATTACTAACAATGCTCACAGCGTGCAGAACCACCGTCCTTCTAGTCCCCACAGTTATTTATCAGAACGGCTCTGGACGGGTTCAATAAAAAGAAAAAAACACCAATGCTTTAAAAATAACATTTTTAACACCAATACCTGCCTTTATATTTTAAATCTCTTCCTAAACTGCATGGAAACAACAAATGTCAAGTTTTGCTTCTGATGTTAAAGAAGTTCTAGGCATTTTCTGCTGGTATTTATAAAATAATAATAGACATTAGATAGATATATTCAGTAAAATTGAGTTAAGTGGCAAAATAAACTGGAATACATTTTAAAAAAGCAAAACCTGGAGACTATAACTAATGTGCTGAATGAGTAAAATTAATCTAAAATCCTGTTTGTTTGCTGAACTGGAGGATGCTGCCATCCAGTGGTTACTTTGCAGAACAGCATTACTACCAAGTAGCAGTCATTTCTTGTTCTCTGTGTTGATCTGTGTTTGTTTGCTTTCACCCAAAAAAGCTCTGAGAATAAATTAGACACAATACAAGGTTAAGAAAAGATAAAACCGACCACTGCATTTTCAAGAACAATCAGAAAAGTTCCAGAAATCCAGAAAAAGTCAAAAATTCTCTTATTTAAAAGCCAGTCTTAATTTTAGCTGAAAAAATTATATTACAGGAATAGATTCCTGTAATTTCTGTAATATATTCCTGTAATATAATTTTTTCAGCTAAAATTAAGACTGGCTTTTAAAATGGTGGAAGATATCTGAGATCAACTCATGAGATCAACTCATTATTTTATTCCAGCACAGTGAATGCAGTTGTTTCAGTTCAGCAGAGACCGTAGAAACAGAGAAGCAATAAACCTTGAGAACTAACAACTGTTTCCAGATATGCAGTGGAGGAAGGGCTTTAACAAGGAATGGAGTTTGGGCGTTTACACCTGCTGAACAACATTCTGATTATTCCTTAAACTAGTTTTACTTTCACCCACAGCACTGCCAGTAAAAGCATTTTATCCACACATTTCTGGATGCTGTTGTTGTGACACTCTCCCCCTTCCTTCATTCTCTCCTCTCTCAGTCACTACTTGCTCTTCTGAGAGGGAAGATGTGCTACCAGCTCTCCGTCTAATGGGTGAATTGAGTTTCCTAAATCTGCTGCGATTTAGCCTGTTCAGAACGGAAATAAACTCTGTTTAAGCTGGTTTTGAGAAAGGATTCGCCTGATTTCTATGGCCTACATCCAGATGTCCCACCCTTCTTCCCCCTGTGAATCATCTAGTCTAACTTTCCCTATCGTTGATACTGAGAACTAAAAAGGAAACCTTTGAGAGAGACGGACGAAGTTTGGTGTTTTGAACCCCAGAACTGGCTTCATGGTGAAGAAGGTGTTGCAGTAGGAGGAGGAGGATGATTGATTGATTGTTGGTCTGATAATCTCTGCATCGATGATGAGGTAACACAGGACTTGGGTCTTTGTTGTTATCTTGGTTTTTCATCTTTTCCTTTATCTTCATCTTTGTCTTTGGTGTCTGAACCCAGCCGATGAGAGAAGTGCGATTTGAGGCTGTTGTTGCGGTAAGTGGGAGAATCTCGGATTTGCAGCTGACTTGTGTCTCTGCAAAACAAAACACGTGACAACTTGTACAAGTCATTGAGGAAGCAAAACAAAATCTCCGTTAACTTGTTTTTTCCTGTCCTGTATTTGCTTTCAGTTTTGGGAGGTTGTATAAAGTCCCAGCGCTGACACCGTCTCCACACCTTCTCTCATCGGCTGTCAGGTAAGGCGATCTTCAGCGACTGAATTCAATTGAGTTGTGATGCTGTATGTAGTGTTTTCTTTACTGTTCTCAATTATTTATTAAGTTACAAAAAGGCGATAGAGAAATTTACAGTTCATCATAGCATTCATAGCCCTCACTGATTTACACTGAAAAAAAGAAGGATAATATAGTACAATTAAAGTACAATTTATTTTCATTTACATTTTAATAAAATATGCGAGTTTAAATATTTACTCTGAAAAAAGAAAATATTTGAACCGACTTAACTGAAGTACTTCAGTTGGTAACAAGTAATCCAATAAAGTTCATCAGTTGATTTAACTTGACAAATTTAAGTCAGTCTTGCTCAAATCATTTGTTTACTTCCAATAAAAAAGTAAACTAATAAAGGATCTTTTAAAAGTTTTTTTTTTTTGCTCAGGCAGTCTTTATTTGAGAGAAGCTAGACAGGAAAGTGGGAAATGACAAACAGGGTAGAGATGCAGCAAACGTCATCAGCCCGGGAATCGAACCTCCGACGGCTGCGTTGAGGACTAAGGCCTCCTAATGCAAGTTATGTTCTCCTCCTGCACCACCACAGCGACCTGGTTGGCTCAGGATCTGTCCTTTCACCACATGCCGATCCCATCCTGATGTCAGACAGGATAGGAGTACGGAGTTGAACTTAATTGTTTCAAGTAAAGTGAAACTAAAAAGTGTCTTTAAGTTAAAAATGTGTAACTTTTAAGTTAATTCTGCATAAAAAAATTTGTTATCACTAACCCAAAAGCATTAAGTGGGATTAATGTAAATAAGTTCATAACATGAACTACTGCCCAAATACACTTTTTAGAGTGCACTGGTTGTACGGCGACTATTGCTGAACAACTTGCCAAGAAAATCCGAGATCAGCTCACTGCTGGAGATTTTAGTTAACAGTAACAATATATAAAGTTGCAATAAAATAAATCTGGTTGTGTGCTGTTTTTGTGTCCTGCAAACTTAGCTTTAATTATACTTATTTTTTCTATCTAATCATAAGAAATCATAGTCAGAGAGAGATGAAACAGGAAGAGCAGGTTTCCTGGAAAAAGAGGAAGTTTCCAGCTTGCAGCTGTATACAAATAGCTGAGACCAGTCCTTATTTAAAAGCATAAAAGTTTTAAAGAATAAAATCTAAACATTTTGAGTAATTCGATAAGATTTAAAGTAAAGTACTTATATTAATATTGGTTTACTTATAACAATACTTACATTTACACTCTCACTTGTGGGAACACTTACAGTAAAACAAGTAACTGTAACTTTGGAACCAAATAATTACAATAATAGGTTATTCTTGGTTTCTTTTCAGAACATGTGTAATAACTCACATTATGATTATAATAAGAGTAATAAGTTGTGATTATCATAAAATTATAAATTAATGCTAAATTAAAGAAACTAAAAGGTTTATGAATGTGATTTTAACATTGAACTTGAAATGGTGTAAAACGTGTAACTGAACTGCTCTGAGAATCTCTTTTCATATCCAACAACCTGACAGTATTCTGACGTCTTTCTGCAACAAGTAAGGAGAATATTACTGGTTATAACTTCACAAAACGTCAACATAAAAAACCAAACTAACCTTGTAGGGTCAGTTACGTAAATTTATGTAGATGAATGACAAACATAAAAACAGCACACTTCTCCGATTTTAACCATCATGTCCAGAAAACACATTTAAATTTATTGAAATTTAAATACATGGCAAAACTTGTTCAAATATAGAACATGTTTTTCTTTCTATTTCAGGTTGAAAATAAACACAGGCATTGTTGCAGTCTCAGAAGCTTCTTTCTCCAGATGTAAGGTAAGTTTCAGACAAATAAAGGGGGACTTGAAACTGTTTTTCTCATAATTGTGCATTATTAGACAGCAATAATAGTAAATATAAAGAAAATGACTGATTATTTTCCTTAGAGCTTAACTGATAGGTGTTTCTGTCACTGATCCTTTTTCACATCAAGAATAAATATACTAAAGTAGTCAGGTACTCACATCTGTTTTTAGCTTCTGTCTTACTGGTAAAAATTTTGAAAGGTTCCTTATTTCCTTTAGGTCTTAAATAAAGGAAGGACCCAGGCCACATTCACAATGAATCAACAACTCTCTCAAGGTAAATTTATGCTTTTGTCAGATGTAAAAGTATCCTGCATTCATAAAGTAAGATTGCTTTTAAAACAATCATGTGGCTCATACACAGGGGCGTCGCCAGGAATCTTGGGCTCCTTGACAAAAAATTAGATTGGCGCCCCCCTGTGCAGCTACTGTTACAATTTTTTAGTCTATTTGACCCATAAAAAGTGTCACAATTTTAAAGTCTTGCTTTCTTTGGTCCAAAAATGATACTAGCACAATATTTACTGCTCATGAATTTTACATTCAACTGTCTGCATACAGTATGCAAGTAGGTTGCTTAAAATTTTCTATTAGTTTTAGACACTGAAATGTCTCTCCCCACAAACAACAGTCATAAGCAACATGCAAAATACAATCCAGCAATCCAGACTTCTCAAAAAAATTATGCGTAGTTGCATTTTATTCAAGCTGCAACATATAACTTTCATAAAAAATACATTTTTCCATATTTGTTAAAGCTGTCACTACATTGTGACAGTTTGTATGAGACAGATAATCTGTGAAAACAATCATTCTCCTCTGCATATTACTGTCTAAAGTAATAGCCAGTAATATTACTTTATTGATTGATTATTTTGGCCGGAACCAAAATAATCAATCAGAGCCAGGAGGAGGGTCTTAGCGCTGTTAATCAACTGCTAAATGTGCTAATGGTGGAGAAATAGCTTATTAATACAGAAAAAATGTTTATCTGCTGTCACTGGTAGCTATGCTAACTAAACTGAGCATTTACAACAGGCTATGCTAGCTGCAGCATAGGGATGAGCAGCCACATGAGATTGTGATTAACAGCACTAAAACTCTCCCGTCTCTGATTGGTTGTTTCTAGAGAGCACCAGCAAAAAGCAGAAGAAATAGATTATTCACAGATTATCTTTCACCACATAATGACAGTTTTAACAAATAAGTGAGTTTTCTGTCACCTTTGAGGGAATTAAGAGAAATCAAATGCTGAAAATGAGACACCACACTTCCTCTATAACCAATATGAGGTACTTTGAATGAATCCATCTCCACAAAGTTACAGTAAAATTCAGAATTATTTATTTTCCTTTAGAATATATGGTCCTTTAACATATTCTAAAAGTGAATACGTTGTAAAATCAGGAACAAGTGAAGTATCTTGCTCAAATGCAGTAGAACACAGTTTCACATCCTTGATCTTAATAAATGAGTTATGCAGAACAGATCCAGATTAAAAGTAACACATATTCCAAACATGTAGCAGGACGTTACATTTGAAGGGGCAGTATTATGTGAAACTGACTTTTGAGCTTTATATCATGCTATAATGTTGCTCCCTTAAAAAAAAGATTAAAAAACTTGGAGTGTTGCCTGGATTCTTACTTTATTACTTTATTGATTGATAAATATACTGATCTCCATGGCAACCATTATGTGCAAAACTCCTGAGTGGACCTCGCTCTGGCGTTGAGGTGCGGCTCCTCCAAGCTTTATATACCATCTCACAGAGGAGCCCCAACTCCACCACTTAGCTCCTTTAGACTAGCCAGCAGCAATTAGCAAACATCTGAGCATCTGCTGAATTCATTATACAAACTCCTTCTCAAGTAAAGCCATTAGAGGACCTTCCGAGGAAAAATGTTAAAGGCTTAAGTAAGGAGCCATCTTGTGATGATTTCTTAGGAGGCAGAGTTTCAGAAACAGCAGGAGATTTTAAAGAGACAGGCCCAATTTCAAGCCGTTAAATTACAAAGAAAAATTTATTGTAAGTCATATTTGATATAGACAGTATTCTTTAAATTAGCTATAACTGGCTCTTTGTGCTTGGAAAACACATAATACTGCCCCTTTAAAAAAGTCATCATCTTCTTACATTTAGAACCACGTTTCTCCAAAACACCAATAAGATAGAGAACACTATAGCAGCATCTCTGCTAAAATTTCTGTTTGCCACATAAACCCTAAATATAAATCAATTGCAAGTCAAAAAGCAGTCATTGCTGCATTTCTACATTCATTTATCACCAGTATAAAATATGAAATGAATTGTTTTAACATCAATGCATGCAGATTTCTAAACATGACACTCTGTTGCTTTTGTTACAGCACTGACCGACATGCTGTCCAAGCTCGGATTGGAAGAATATTATCCCAACAAGCTCACTCTTCGTTCTCTACTGGAAATCAACAAAGACAGCATATATGTAAATCCCCCTTCATTACCCACAGATATACCATGGTATTTTCTGAGAAATCTGCTCCAGATTAATGCTGACAGCAGAAAATGTATTCAGTTAGCAGACACTGATAGTGAAAGCGATGATCCCTTTGGCTTAGACCTTTATACTGAAGAAAACAATAAGGTTAATATTCTTGACCTCATTGTGGCACTGTTCCTCTGTGCTGACAGTTTCTTACAACAAGAAATGGCACTCAAGATGTCAATGTGCCAGTTTTCTGTCCCGCTCTTGTTGCCACATTGTTATGACAGTCAATGCAGCCTGATGCTTTGGGCCTTGAGAGACATTGTCAAAGAGTGGCGTACACCTAAGTTATCTGAATCAAAAGATTTTGCGGAAGCCAGTATCGTCCAAGCAGATGCACCATTCTACTGTTTTGTGAGACTGAAAAACAACAGTTTATCAAAATCCCTTTTGCTCAATCATGTGATGAATCATGGCCAACAGAACACAAAAATCTTCATGGACAGAGAAATGGAGGGAGGCACACATCATAGAGAGATTGCAAACGGTCTGGTTGAGATGAGCTGTTATCTTCCCTGTGGAAGAAAAACTGATGAAATTTTTCAGAAGCCAGTGATCTTTGCTAATTTACGAGGAGACATTTGTGAATCACCGACACAATTTGCCTTTCTATATGAAGTGTCAATAGCTGTCTTTGTCCTAATGGACAAAATCCAAGAAGATGAGCTGAAGATTTTAATGTCTTTACATGATGCAAAATCAAAACTATTCTTTGTGTTCACGCAAAACAAAAATGCAATAGAAGATACTATGTCTGTTAAGACAGCGGTGGAAAAATTGGAACTGCCAAAAAACCATTTGGTCTCTAAAAAACAGAATGTAAATGTTAAAGAGTTTTCCAAGACACTTTGTGTAACCATTAACAGTTCACTAGAATGTGTTTCTAACCGGATGTGCATTGCAAACATGACAGAGACAGCGATTAAACTTGGTTTGTCTGTGGATGAACAAAGGAGTGCTGCACAACAGAATGCAGCTGAGAGCATCAGAGAAGGAATTGGGTTACGAAAAATACCGGACTACAAGAAACAGCAACTGCGTTTGCAGGGAGAAAATTGGAGAAAACTTTCAAAGTTAGAAAAGGAGGAATGTAGACTGAACAATGCTGGTGATTCTGGACTTGAACATTACAAGTCAAAGTTACGGAAAGAGAAACAAGAGATCAGAAAGAAACAAAGTCAATACACACTGTCGAAAGCAATGAAGATTTTTATCGACAGTTTATCTACAAGTGACAAAGAAAATAGAGATTTATTTCTAAAATGGATGAAACTTAAACTTGACTCACACTCAAGAATCAAACTCTCTGAACTGAGAAACCAATTAAAGAGGGAACAAGAAAAGAAAAATGCAGAACGTGTTGCTGAATTAGATCAAGCTCTGCTGGAAAGCTCTTTAGGAATCGAGCATTTCATGAGAGAGATGGGACTGATCTATGAGTTTTCAGAAGAAACCACAGGGGAAATCTCTCGTCTCCCTCAACTGGCTGCTGAAATGGTGATGGATGGACATCCTTTAGAGCTTTTAGATGGAGATGCTTCCAACATCCCAGAAATGTGGGTGTCTGCTGTCCTTAACGAGGTCCATAAGAAAGTTGGAAACAGGAGCAGATTGTTGGTTCTGACAGTTCTGGGTGTTCAAAGTTCTGGGAAGTCGACGCTCCTCAACACCATGTTTGGTGTCCAGTTTCCAGTCAGCAGTGGCAGATGTACAAGAGGCGCTTACATGATCTTCCTCAGAATTCAAGAGGATTTGAAAAATGAACTGAATTATGATTTCATAGTTCTCATCGACACGGAAGGTCTAAAGTCTCCTCAGATGGCTCAACTTGAGGACAGTTATGAACATGACAACCAGTTGGCAACATTCGTCATTGGTTTAAGTGACATTGCCATCATCAATATAGCAATGGAAAATGTAATTGAAATGAAAGATATTCTGCAAATTGCAGTTCATGCATTCTTGAGAATGAAAGAAGTTGGAAAAAAACCAGTTTGTCATTTTGTGCATCAGAACGTTGGGGCAGTTTCAGCTCCTTCCAAAGGCATGATTGACAAAAAACTTCTCTTGGACCAGCTCAATGAAATGACTCAGATTGCATCTGAAATGGAAAAACTACCAACTATTAAACGGTTCACTGATGTCCTGGACTATGATATGGAAAAAAACAACTGGTACATTCCAGGTCTCTGGCATGGCACTCCACCAATGGCTCCAGTAAACACTGGTTACAGCGAAGCTGTGGCTGAGTTCAAGAACAGTCTTCTCAGGTCAGATGAAGAATATAAAAGTATGGATGAGACGTTCATCCCAGACTTTCTAGAATGGATGAAGAGTCTTTGGAAAGCAGTAAAATATGAAAACTTTATCTTTAGCTTCAGAAACACTCTTGAGGCTAATGCCTATGACAACCTGTGGAAAGAATTCAATGAGTGGGAATGGGAGTTCAGAAGACAGATTCTTACCTGGAAGTCAGAAGCAGAGACAGAAATCCGCAATGCTAACACCGAAAGTGACCAGGATTTATTTCAGCTGGTGGGCTCAAAAAAAGACGAGCTTTTAAAAAATATAGAAACCCAACAAAAAGAAATGAGAAAAAAGCTTTTGGATTACTATAAAAGAAAAGATGTACATGCATATTTGATAGAGAAATACAGACAGTATTTTCTCAACAATATCAAATCTCTGGCAACAGAAGTCCAATTATCAACAAGCCATGAACTAGATTGTGCAGGCAAGTTGCATAAAAGTTTCAAAATGGTTCAGGATCTTCACAAACAATCCAAAAGCCTATTTGAAACACATGTGGAGGATCTCCTGAAAAAGTGCAGAGAGTCTGAACTGTCTGAAGAAGAGCTGACAGAGGAGTTTGACAAGATGTGGGCCAAAGTGACTGAAAATATATCTGACTTAAAAGAGCAAGATATTTCTAATGGAGTCAAGCGTCTGTTGAAAGACAGTTTCTCAAACCGAAATGTCAATGAGGATTTTCAAAACATTGGAGACCTGATGGAAACTGAAAAAAGCAATTCTGAAGCAAAAACTGAACCTCTAAAATCAGCACGAAAATTCAAGTGGTTTCAGAAAAAAGACCACAAAGATAAGGACAAGAGTGACCTGAAGGAAATTGAAGAAAGCAATTTCAAAGCAAAACTAAACATCTAAAAACATCTAAATTAAATATCTTCTTTGAGAAGAAAAACTTAAAAAGAGACTTACAGGCAGCATCTGATGCTCTCATTGAGTCTTGCAAACAAGAAGTCCTTGGGATCATGAGGAAAAACTCAGATTATAATGACCTCTATACAAAGAATCTATTAGACAAGATTAATCTGGCACTTGGCCAAAACCAAAAGTTCAAACGTTACAACATCACGTTTGAAGTTGATCTGAAAGTTCATATCTGCCGTTTTGCCTTGAGAAAATTCACTGAAATGCACAAAAACTTCCTGGCTGTCAATAGTCCCAAAAATCAACTGGAAAAGTGCAAGAATCAGTACTTGTTAGATTTTATTGATCAGTACAAACAATCAAAGGACAAAACAGGACAAAGTGAACAGAAAGCAAATGATTTTGTCAGGTTGTGTCTCAGACCAGCAGTGGAGGATTTCATCAACAGAACCCTGGGAATAGATATAGTAGATGAAATTCTGGAAAATCATGATTCAAAAGAGTACAGTTCACCTTCCTCTTTCTCGTATAATGTTCAGAAAGAGCTTCTGCAAAAAGATGAATCTGAAGATCTTATAAAATACATTTCTAACTATGAATTGTATATTAAAAATTTGATTTTTCAACACATCCAGCGGAAAATGTCTGAGGACAAGACATTGATCAAACTAAAGAACAAAAGGTTGCAGATTATTGTTGACAAACTAATAGAGGCAATCAAAAATGCCTCAAAGGATGGAGAAGGAGACACAGACGATATAACAAAGTTTATCTGCAGAATGCAAAAATATTTAGTAAAAGATTTATCATTTTCAGTACAGTCTGAAAAAAATACTCTATTCCCAACTGAAATCAAGTGCCAGGTATTCATTGACAGTCTGCCGACCTTTGTAAATGAGCTGAAGGAACAGCTTCAGGAGGAATTTACAGGCTCTGAAGGTGTTGCTGAGACAATCAACAAACTACTAATCAAACCACAGGATGAGCTTTTCAGAAGAGTGGTTGGATGTGGGAGGCAATGTCCTTTTTGTAAAGTTCCCTGTGATGCAGGAGGCAAAGAACATCTGCAGCATCAAGCAGCTGTGCATCGGCCACAAGGGCTTGGTGGGTTCAGGTATGAACATAATGATAAACTGGTTGAGACACTCTGTACGACTGATGTGTGCAGTACATGCCATTTTAGAAATGTAGACACTAAAGGCGAGTGGCATCCATACAAAAACTACGGCAAAATTTATCCAGAATGGAAAATCCAACCAGACACCACCACTGAGGTGTCAGACTATTGGAAGTATGTTCTGACAAAATACAACGATCAGTTCGCTAAACTTTTCAAGGCCAGCCCAGCAGATGTTCCAGAGGACTGGAAGAATATCACAAAGGAACAAGCTCTAAAAGGCTTCGGAGATGCTTTTAATATTGGAACTTACCGGAAATTTTACCAGTTAAACGTCTAAAAGACTAAAAAGCTTTTGATGAAATCTAAACAAAGAATAAAGTGTCCAAGCATCTTAGGGTATTACTAAAAATACCAATGACTTTTAAGATTTTTATTACTTTGAAACTATTGAATGTGACTTTTTAGCTGAGGAACAACATCAGAGGAACAAAGTACAGGAGACTTTTTTGTTCCACATGTGGCTTTATTTCTACAAACTCAATATATTCATACTGGGCACTCGACATAACTTTTTTCTTTTTTTTAAGTTTTATTAATAACAAGCATAAAAATTCTGGACTGTAAATATTGTAACAAAAAATACATTGTTTTTCTTTTTTCTTTTTCATCTTTAAATGTTTTACAGCTGTGTTTTCCAGAAAGTTAGTGTACTTGCAGAGACTTTCAATTAAAATTTTTTGTTTGTTTATTCAAAGAAAATACTGTTGTGTTGAAAGCCTATAAAATATGGAATCATTCTCATAATTTGCATGGCTTCTTTGTGAATTAATATAGTACTTAAAAGTGTAGCTAGTTTTTATACTAACACCAAGAATCAGTACTTACTTTATTATTACTTGAAAGTAGTTTTTACTTGTTTTTTTTGGATTGCTCTTCAGTTGGTGCATGTTGACATAAATTACGCTTTTCAGTTTGCAAAGATATTATTGCTAAAGTTTTGAAGGTTTCTAATCTCAATAATGGAACAAGAAATTTATTTTTTGATTTATTATAGCTTCAGTGTTTTCTAAACTAGTTATTAAGAAAAACAACTTGCTTTCTTTTCAAAAGTACAAACAGAATGTTAAAAGTTGTGCAACATTTTTTAAAAACATGTAATACTGAATGATCACATGAAACAGATGCTTTCTAATAAACAAATTATTCATCTTTGAAGTGACTATTGTAATTGTTTTGTGCAAATGCATCAAAGGAGAACAGAACTAAAAAGGCCACCTTCAGACGATGTTGTTTGGGGTTTTTCAACTGTTTTGGGATAATTCTGATGTGCTGAATTAAAAAATTACATTGGTTTTTTTTCTCAACCAGGTCAATTTTCTGAACTAAGCTACATGCTAGGTTGGGGTGTTGGGATGCAGCCAGAGTGCTTACAGTTGGACTCTGAAGAGAAATATCTCTGCTGCTGAGCATACGAGGAGGCGTTCGAAGAAATGGCACTTCATGCACTTAAGTTTGCGCAATGAGGGGTTAATGTGCAGTTTACATGTACTTACCCTTATCAGTGTTATTACTCAATTTATCAAAAAATTCAAGTTTGTATCATCTAATTAATATTCTGTTAGAAAACTATTTTTATTCTTCTGAAATCTTTTTTGGATGAAAAATACTAACAGAAATGAATGGATGGTCACAAAAATGTCATCAGTTTAGTCAGAAGATCAGATTTCTCTAAATCTAATTAGAATAAAAATCTGACCTGACTCAGAAAAATATATGTCATTTTTGGGTTGAGCAGTGCAAAATAGTGATAATTCGGTTGAAAAAAAACATAGACAACTTCCAAAAAATATCTTTTGTAACTCAGTCCAATTTACTACAGGCATTATCTTAAACTAATGTGTGTCCCTTTATCAGAATTATAGGTATCTTCAAACTTGTAATCAGTCAGTATCCCTGCTTAAAGGTCTAGAAGTAGTCACCAGGATGTTTGGTGACATGGTCCACAGGAAGTGAAGGAGGAAGTTGACCCAGTACATGAGAAAGAAAATTGCTGACACATTTGGTAAAGACTGTCAGACCAAATCCAAGCAGCTGTGACAGCTGCATGTTACCCAGAGGTTTAAAGTCCATGAGACTGTAGCTAAGCTCTCTGGCTGTGACTGGCTGGGATGACAAATTAAACAAAAGGAAAATACAAATGATCACCAAAGAACCCTGAACAACCTCCCATGAAATTAAAGTGAATAAAAGGTCAAGGTACATCAGTGTCAGATTGCACTGATTGCCATTTTCTGAGTCAAAGTGAACTTCATGGGATGTGACTTTTTGTTGAAAGCAAAACTTAAAAAGAAGAGACTGAAAATAGTAATAAAGCTTCTGGGAAAATGTCCTTTGGACAGATGAGACAAAATTGGATCAAAATGATTTTAAGAAAGGCATACAATATCTTGAGGTTCTGTCCTGCTCTAGAAGTTTATCATTAATAAGATTTGACACACTCACATTATTCAGTCAGGTTTAATGAACAGGTGCATTCAAGTTTGGCTTGGCTCATTTCTGCTATTCTCTATCTGGTTCTTCTCATCAGTAACATTTTTAAAGCTGTTTGGATAAACTTTCCCCTAAAAGTCCAAGTCATCAAATTGGAGTAGAGACAGAGAGTCACTGCATGTTGATTCTTGTGTTAATCTGAAAGTGCTTCATATTAGTAATTATTGCTAATTACTAATTAATTACTACTATTGTTAAGTTGAGAAAAATAATTCTATAAAACCCACGCTATGACTTGCTGTTTGCCTCGTTAACCACCAGATGGGGCTGCTGCACTAATTTACCCCAGACATACCCCTGATGGAAATATATAAGCAAAGGTCTGAACACATCTCTGGTATTTTTATTCACTGACTGGTCCAGTCAGAAGTGCATGTTTACTGTTTAAATAAAGGAGATCAGCGAGCCTTCCTCTGCATCTGTTTAGAATGGATTCCTGTTGCATAGAAAAGCTTCTTGATCAATAAATATCAGATCAATCAATAAATCCTCTGCTGAACAGAGAACTTCATGAGAACTTCAGGTTGAGTCAAAGTGCAACAGAAGATTAGAGACATCTTAAATAAAAATTAATCATAAAAAAGTAAATGAAGAAAGCATTGTTCTGAATAAAAATAGACAAGGAGTAAATTACATAAGTAACAACAACTTATTTTTTCTTTTAACCAAAAGGATTTCTTGCACAAGTTTTGTGCAAAAGTCATAAACTAATTTTTCAGACTCGTTACTCAAGGGGTGAATATCTTTTTTTTTTTCTTCTGGCGTTATATTTTAAAATTTCTGTAATTATGACATTTTCCAAAACATAGCTGCTAGAATAAGCCTCAGTTGTTCGAACATAAACAGCCAAATTGTCTGTCTATGTACAGTTAGGGCCAGAAATATTTGGACAGTGACACAGGTTTTGTTATTTTAGCTGTTGACAAAAATATGTTCAGAAATACAATTTATATATAATATGGGCTGAAAGTGCACACTCCCAGCTGCAATATGAGAGTTTCCACATCCAAATCGGAGAAAGGGTTTAGGAATCATAGCTCTGTAATGCAGAGCCTCCTCTTTTTCAAGGGACCAAAAGTAATTGGACAATGGACTCCAAAGGCTGCAAGTAACTCAAAAGGCCTTTCCCTCGTTAACCTGTAATCAAGTAAGTAGTTAAAAGGTCTGGGGTTGTTTCCAGGTGTGTGGTTTTGCATTTGGAAGCTGTTGCTGTGACCAGACAACATGCGGTCAAAGGAGCTCTCAATTGAGGTGAAGCAGAACATCCTGAGGCTGAAAAAAAGGAAAAAATCCATCAGAGAGATAGCAGACATGCTTGGAGTATCAAAATCAACAGTCTGGTACATTCTGAGGAAAAAGGAATTGACTGGTGAGCTTGGGAACTCAAAA